TCCCTCCCTCCCTCCCACTTTCCCTCTCTCCCTCTCTCTCTTCCTCCCTCTCTCCCTCCTTCTCTCCCTTTCTTTTCTCCCTTTCCCACCCTCTCTGTCTCCCTCCTTCTTTCCCTTTCTCTCTTCCTCCATGGCCTCCTTCCTCTTCCCCCCTCCACCTCAACCCTCCCCCTTCTTCTTCCTCCTCCTTCACCTTGTCCTCCTCCTCTTCTCCTTCTTCCTCCTCTTCTCCCTCCTCCTCCTTCTTGTTTCCTCTCCTTCTACTCTCCTTCATCTTCCCCGTTCCTATTCCTCCCTCTCTCCTTCCCTTCTCCTTCCTCTCTCCCTCTTTCCCTCACTTGTTTTTCCTGTAATACCTATAAAATACTAAATGCTGGACTTTGGGTTCTGATTTGTTAAGGTACCGCTCTTAAAGATACATGATTAACTAAAAGTGATAGTATAATGTGGAAAGTTTAGTGATGTATATATCCAAATGGATATTATGGTAGTCTTAAGAAAGTTTGCTTCATTAAACTATTTTTAAACTTGAAAACTTCACAGTTATGGGAGACAGTTATAGTTGTACAGGAACTCACAGACTATAAGAAACATGTGACCCATATTAGTGTTTGGCTATGCTTGGTTGTAAAGCTCTTCTTATGGCAACCAATGTCCACATTGCATTTATTATCCTAAAGTCCTCCCACCATTGCCACTATTCAACAGTTTCTACTCTTCTGGGTTCCATTTAAGAGCTTCAGGATCAGTGGAGTAATTGAAAGAGAGGGGGCACTAATATTCCGAGTTCACGTTTGGACCCAATTATTGCTTTGATGCATATTTATATATTTCCAGCAGAGTAACTCAGAGAGGCACGGCATTGATATTAGGATCTCACTTTGGGACCCACTTATTGCATTTATGCATATTTATATATTTCAAAGAGGAGTAGCAAAACGAATGCATAAAAATAAACTCATAATGCCAAGACACGTTACAATGTATTTTTCTATTTATCATTTAATTTATTTCTTGTAATAGACTTAGTGCTTGAAGGTTTCCTGCATGAGTGTCTTAAGTACTGTTTCTGATAGATATTAGCACTAGAATTAGCACTGAATAATTATTTGTGGAGGATCTGTAATTAGTTTCTTCTTCCTTTCTGAAGTGATCATGCTGTATTGTCTGGTTTTCTTTAGTCATAAGACCAGGCCTGCCATTTCTAGGTGTCCCTTACCAAGAGGCCCTTCATTGCTCTGTGCTTTGGCTTTGTCTGTCTCCAAACTAGAACTTGGCTACTGTTACTAATAATAACACCATTTGCACTTTACTGAGTTTCAGTGAAGAATAAAATCATTTATCTGCATGAAAGCACATGTATACAGTTGATAACAATTATCAATATAAAATAACTATTGAGTGACCAGATTATCAGCTACTTTATGCAAGGGGAGTTCAACTTTAATTGATTCTTACCTATTCCAAAAGTTTCCAAGGTAATTGTACATCTTACTCTTCTCTGCTCCAAAGTACATATTGTCGGTGACCACTTTTTGAATTTTTTTTAAATTAAGTATTGAATCTTTGTAAGGTTCAATACTGAAGGTTTGAAAGCAACTTATATTTCTACTTAGGATTCATAAAGTCTCACGTTTAATTTCTAGATTATAAATTCCACTGATAGAACACTGAGAAATATCACACTAAGAAGCTGTGAATCACCTTTAGGCCAAAGCAATTTACTTTTTAAAAAATCTGATTAATTTCAACACAATCAGCCAGTATGTCAGATGATTTCAGTACCTCTGATCGATGCTGACAGGTAAGGAAATTAAAATCAGGAAGGGAAGCAATTAAATACTGACAAACATTACTTAATGAGACAACCAAATCATTCATAAGCTATGGAATGTTTGATTCTTAAGAAACATTTTAGGGTGGTGGGTGACAGAGTGCATTTTAAAAATATTTTTAAGAGTGGAGCTGGATCTAAGTGCGTTGAGTGGAAAAACTAAGGGACAGGGTTCTGACTCAGAGTTCAAGCTCCTATTCTGGCACCAAACAAAAACAAAAATACAGAAAAGCATTGTGGTATTTGATGATTGGCGTGGAGGACATCTGATACTTCTCATTTAACAAAGCCTTTGTCTTAATATAACATTTCAGTTGCTTTTGGGGCTAGACGTGTATGTTTACAATTATAACGTTATTTAACTTAAAGAATCTTACCATACGCATTCCTAACGTCACACAAAATTTGGACAAAATTTACACAAAATCTAGAAAAAAAAAATTTTTCCTATAGATGAAAAACTTGCTAAAATCGATCTCTCTGCTCTCTTCATTTCCCAAATCTTTTCTCTATTTTTTTCTGATATATTTTCCCTATTCCTTATCATTTTTCATGTCTTTATCTTCCTTCTATCCCTTGGCTTCATGTATTCTGTCTTGTTTCATTCTTTCAAAAGCAGCAGAAATGATTAATCATATCCTCTAAATAGTTTCAGATAGGTTTAGGGAGTCTCACTTAATAGAAGAAAGTTTTGCTAGAATGAATTTGATTGTACAGACTGTTTTTGACTGAAGTGGCCACTCTTGGTGAGAATGCTTTTCTTGGGAGAGGAAGATGTCTTGACAAAGGATGCATCCATGGTACAGTATATTCTGGGTAAACAGTTCTAAAATACACAGAGGTGTCAAGGATTTCTGGCTTCATTACATGGGATTTATCTGGCTAGTATGGAATTTGTTACTTTCTCCTGTGTCTTTTTGGGTTATGATAAGCTTCATTGCATTATGAAACACACAGGAGGTAATGATGACATGTCTATTTTCCTATGGTGCACTTCGTGGCTGTAAGTGTTAGCACTTCTCTGCCTTATGATGAGCCTTACTGATTGATGAAGGACTCTAAGAAAATTATTTGGTGCAGACAGTGGTTTTATGGCTTGTGTTTCAAGAGTTTGACTAAGGACTTGGCAATCGTGGAACTCTATTGGAGAGAATTGAGAAAGTGTTCAAACATGCCTTCTGTCTCTGCTAAATAATCTTTCACCTTCTGTTCAGACTTCATATCTGAACTCTTTTCCTTCTCTTTTCACTTGCTAGTGAGAAATGATCTGAAATTAAATGTGCTTCAGTGTTTTGACAATTGAGTTTTACAGGTTATGTATATATATTTGTTTTGTGCTTCGTGAAATTAAGTTGTCCTCTCCAAATAGCATGTTCTAATGGAGAAGCTACATACATAGAAGTGTAAATATAGGTTTTTGATATCAAAGTACAAGGTTTAAAGAAAGTCAGCTTCAAGTTAATCTTGTAACATTTAAAGTCTGCTTTCTATATCGGTAAAATTAGAGCAATAAAGTCTCATTGGAGTTCTAGTGATGATGATTTGAGATGTAATAATTATGCAAATATTTTCCAAACTATACAATAAAATATAATGTCAAAAGCTGTTTAAGGTTTTGATTATGATGGTAGGATAACAGATTTCTTGCCTTGTATCTTTTCAACTGTGTTCTTTTCTTAATCTTATTTGACTTCTCTATAAAAATTGGATGTTAATAAAACTCCCCAGACGTCTTATACTTTTCAATAAATCTGTTGTCTATCTAATATTTAAACAATTTCTCTTTGTTCTTTTGGTTCTGTTGGAACTTTGCTCTATCTTTCTGGGAACTTTGCTCTACCTTTCCGAATTCAAGGCCCAATTATAGGCACAAACTTTAATATGATGTGTGATTTTATCATCAAGTTTTTCACTTAATACAGTGACTCTTATTTTTGGAAAGTTGAATGGTACTTGATTTTTATTTTTATTTATTAATTTTTTTGCGGTACCTGGGCTTGAACTCAGGACAGGGTGCTGCCCTTTAACTTTTCAGCTTAGGGCTGGCACTACCACTTGATTCACGCTCTACTTTTAGCTTTTTGGTGATTAGTTGGAGATACAGAATCTTACTTTTTTTTTTTTTTTTTTTTTCTGCTGAGGCTGTTCTTGAATCTTGACCATCAGATTTCAGGCTCAGGAGTAGCTAGGATTGCAGGTATGATGCACTGGTGCTGCCTATGATTTAAAAAAATTTTTGATACTTTGTCTTTTAGAACAAGAGTTCTTAGTGTGTCTATTGTTAGGTAAGATTGGGTGGTATAGCCATTGATAAATATTGTTTAGTTTTGAAAGTAGAGTGATGTAACACTGACATACCTAAAGAATTTCTAGAGAAATTTTCTACTGTTGTATGCTTGTTAAATCTTTTGATCATAGAAGCATCAGCTCCTAGGAAGATTTGGTATTGTTTTGTAAACCACTACTACCTCTCTCTACATAAAATAATAGAAAACCTTCTCACTGACAGTTTAAATCAGGACAATTTGGCTGTGAATGATATATTAGAATCCTCATTTGCATATCAGGAAATTGGCAGTCAGAGGGATTAAGTAACTTGCCCTAGGCAATGGAATGACTGTTAATCTGGTGAAATTTTCCTGCTTCCTCTTATCAAGTCACCTATCTGGTTTTGCTTTATTGTTCTTCACCAAATCTAGAGGGCCACTTTTACAAGTTGTTTTTTTCCAGCCTAGTAACCTAGAAGAAACTAAGGTGGACAGTGCTTGCACTAGTGGCTAAGGCCTTGGTTTCAGACGCGTGATCTGCCATGTACTGTATTGTACTGTACTATTTAGTTTTGTGCAAGTTACTCACTTTCCTGAATAGTTTCCGCATCCATAAAATGAGGATAGTAATGACCAGTTGATGTGGCATGTTTGTGAAGGTAATCATGAGAGATATGCTAATTCTTTCTCATCCTTTCTATCCCTCTGAGAGCTTGAGTAACATAATCTCTTCCTGAATCTTCATTGGGTTGCTGAGGGATGAAACGAAATAATGAATATGGAAATGTTTTACAAAGCACGTAATCACTATATAGAAATAGAAAGTTATAGATATTAATGAGTAAAAATAGGTTTAGTTTCCAAGAGTAACTTCTACCTATTTCATTTGCTGATTCTAGCATTTAAATTGGTTGAACGGTGTGCCTACTGTCCGGGAGTCAGCTACCTAAGGTAAGAAAGAGAACATTGTTATCTTTTCTTTTTAAAAAAAATTTTATTTTATCATAAGGATGCTGTAATGCTAATAAGCATCTGAATCAATAATGTTTACAGCTGGGTTTACTCCCAGAATTAGCTATACAATGGTATTTTGTGAGCATCAACACTTGAAAAATATCCAACACAGTAACATGCCCTTCATTTATGTCCTTTTGATTAAATTTCCCATTTTAATTTCTGCTTCTTAAAATTTAATACCAAAAGTGTAGACAATGTAGTAGATTCAGATTGAATGACAACTTTAGCATACATTACATATTATGCAGTAAGATGCTCTCTTTCTTTCTTCCTTTCCTTTCCTTTTTCCTTTCCTCCCTTTCCTTTTTCCTTTCCTTTCCTTTTTCCTTTCCTCTTTTCTCTTTCCCCTTTCCCTTCCTTTCCTTTCTCTCTTTTCTTGTTCAGTATTGGGGCTTGAACTCAGAGCCTTGAGCTCTTCTTGTCTTTTTTACTCATGACTGGTACTCTACCATTTTAGCTACACCTTCACTTCCAGCTTTTTGCTGGTTAATTGGTGATAAGAGTATTATGGATTTTTCTGCTTGGAAACTCAATTCTCAGATTTCAGTTTCCTGAGTAGCAAGGATAATAGGTATGAGCCACAGTGCCTGCTCATCCATTGTTTTATTGAGTCATCAGCTAGTATGTGCCAGTAGGTCTTTCTAACCTGGTTTCCTCAGAGTACATTTTTCATTATTTTATGCTGCCCATGTTAGTTGTATCTGAAGGGACCAAAGGATACTAGTAGGATTAAACGCTGTCTCTTATCTTTTGTGCAAATCATTAAAAAACTATAGTATAAGCTTTTAATGAAAAAGAAAATCCCAAGAAGATCACACGTGATTCAGAGTCTTTTGAAACCCAGAAACTATTGTATCTGAGTGCCTTTCTCCTCAGAGACTAGTACAAAGGTCTTGACAAAGAATATATTTATCTTGAGTATACCAGAAAGAAGGAGGTCAATTGGAGAGAAAATTTAAAGAATAATCACAATTTAAAAATTTACACAATGTGATCCTGTCATGCAGCTAATTTGTTATTATCAGTACTTCTTTTTTTTATTAATTTTTTTAATTGTGAAAATACCACACAGAGGGGTTACAATTACATGGGCAAGGTAATGAGTGCATTTCTTATCAAGCATTGTTGTCTCCTCCTTTGTTTCCCTTTCCCATCCCTTCCCATCTCCTTTCCATCCTTCCCCCCACACCAAAGTTATAAAGTTCGTTTTTTTTTTTTTTTTTTTTTTATTGTAAAGCTACTATACAGAGGGTCACAGTTACATGAGTGAGGTTATGAGTACACTTCCTCTTGAACATTGTTACCCCCTCCATTGTTTTCCCCCTACCATCCCCTCCCTCCCTCCCTTCCCCGAGGTTCTTTTTTTTTTTTTTTTTTTTTTGATTGTGATTAAATGATTACATAATTTCAAAGTCACAAGTTCATTCTAACTTCCCTGGAGCAAATTGTCTACCACAGTCTGTAATATATAACAGTGTTCACATGTTATATACCATATTTGTGATCAGCAGCATGAGGATATTTAGTAGTGGTTCAACCAGATGAGCGGGAGTTCTTTGTTTCTTAAGTCCTGTTAGTTTTGTCGTATCACTAACCTTTTGGATTTAGCATCCACTTATGAGGGAGACCATGTACCGTTTGTCTCTTCGTTCTTGGCTTACCTCGCTCAACATGATTCCTTCTAGCTCCATCCATTTCCCTGCAAATGCCATTATTTTGTCATTTCTAATGGCTGCATAATATTCCATTGTGTATAGATACCACAATTTTTGGATCCATTCATCTGTGGTGGGGCACCTAGGTTGTTTCCATATCCTAGCTATTGCGAACAGTGCTGCAATAAACATGGAGGTGCACGTGTCCTTGTATATTGGTCCCTGTTGTTCAGGGTAGATGCCTAGAAGTGGTATGACTGGGTCGTAAGGGAGGTCAATCTTTAGCTTTCTAAGGACCCTCCAGACTGCTTTCCAAAGTGGTTGTATAAGTGTACATTCCCACCAGCAGTGTAATAGGGTTCCTCTTTCTCCACATCCCCTCCAGCATTTGTCGTTGGCTGATTTGTGGATGTGGGACATTCTGACTGGGGTAAGGTGGTATCTCAGGGTTGTCTTTATTTGCATTTCCTTCACCACCAGGGATGATGAACATTTCCTCATGTGTTTCTTTGCCATTTTTATTTCTTCATTTGAGAAGTCCCTCTTTAGTTCCCTTGCCCATTTAGTAATTGGTTTGTTAGGTTTGGGAGGGATTAGTTTCTTGAGTTCCCTGTATATACAGGATGTTAACCCCTTGTCTGATATATTGCTGGTAAATATTTTTTCCCAATTAGTTGGTTGTCTTTCTAGCTTAGTTGCGATAGATTTAGCTGTGCAGAAGCTTTTTATTTTAAGGTAGTCCCATTTGTCGAGTCTCTCTCCAACTTGTTGTGACCCTGGGACTCTGTTCAGGAAGTTCCTTCCTGTGCCTATTAGTTCAAGTGTCTCTCCTACTCTGTCCTGCAGTAGTTTCAGAGATTCAGGTTTAATGTTAAGGTCTTTAATCCATTTTGAGTTGATGTTGGTGCATGGTGATAGGCTGGGGTCCACTTTTAGTTTTCTGCATGTGGCTGCCCAGTTTTCCCAGCACCAGCGGTTGAAGAGGCTGTGTTTCTTCCATTGTATGTCTTTGGCTCCTTTGTCGAATATCAGCTGGCTGTAGGCCTGTGGATTTATATCTGGATCTTCTATTCTGTTCCATTGGTCTTCGGGTCTGTTTTTGTGCCAGTACCATGCTGTCTTTGTGATTATAGCTCTGTAGTAGAGTTTGAAGTTCGGCATGGATAGCCCTCCCATATTGTCTTTATCCCCTAGAATTGTTTTGGCTATTCTAGGTCTTTTGTTGTTCCATATAAATTTTTGGACTGTTTTCTGTATTTCAGTGATGTACGTCATTGGGATTTTAATAGGAATTGCATTGAATTTGTATATTAATTTTGGAAGTATCACCATCTTTACTATATTAAGTCGGCCTATCCAGGAGCATGGGAGGTCTTTCCATTTCCTAGTGTCTTCTGCAATTTCTTTCTTTAACTTTTTATAGTTCTCATTAAATAGTTCTTTTACATCTTTGGTTAGGTTAATTCCTAAATATTTTATTTTTTGGGAGGTTATTGTGAATGGGGTTGCTCCCTTTATTTCCCTCTCTTCCTGTGCGTTATCAGTGTATAGGAAGGCAACTGATTTTTGTGGGTTTATTTTGTATCCTGCTATTTTGCCGAAGTGACTTATGATTTCTAAAAGTTTGGGGATGGAGTTTTTGGGATCGTGGAGGTATAGTATCATGTCGTCTGCAAAAAGGGATAGTTTCACTTCTTCTTTCCCTATGCGGATCCCTTTAATGTCTTTTTCTTGCCTTATTGCCCTGGCTAAGGGTTCTAGGACTATGTTGAAGAGGAGTGGAGACAGTGGACATCCTTGCCTTGTTCCTGTTTTTAGGAGGATTGGTTGTAGCTTTTCCCCATTAAGTATAATATTGGCTATTGGTCTGTCATAAATGGCTTTTATTGTTTTTAGAAATGTTCCTTCTATTCCTATTTTCTCCAGAGCTTTTAGCATGAATGAATGTTGAATTTTATCAAAGGCCTTTTCTGCATCTGTGGCGATAATCATGTGATTCTTGACCTTGGCTCTGTTGATATGCTGGATTACATTTATTGACTTACGTATGTTAAACCATCCCTGTGTCTCTGGGATGAAGCCTACCTGATCATAGTGTATTATTTTTTTTATGTGTTTCTGGATTCTGTTAGCTAGAATCTTGTTAAGGATCTTTGCATCTGTGTTCATCAAGGAGATTGGCCTGTAATTCTCCTTTTTGGTTGGGTCTTTGCCTGGTTTGGGGATGAGTGTGATATTGGCTTCGTAGAATGAGTTTGGGATAGCTCCCTCCTTCTCTGTTTCTCTGAAGAGCTTGAGGAGTATGGGTATTAGTTCTTCTTTAAAGGTCTTATAGAATTCTGCTGTGAATCCATCTGGTCCTGGGCTTTTTTTTGTTGGAAGACTTTTGATAGCTTCCTGTATCTCATTATAGGATATTGGCTTATTTAATTGGTTAACTTCTTCTTTGCTCAGTTTGGGTAACTTGTATTTCTCTAAAAATGCATCCATTTCCGCCAGATTTTCTTCCTTTAGAGAGTATAGCTTTTGAAAGTAGTCTGTTAGAATTGTTTGGATATCTTGGGTACGTGTTGTGATGTTTCCCGTGGCATCCCTAATCCTATTAATATGGGTTTCCTCTCTTCTTTTTTTAATTAATCTTGCCAACGGGCCATCAATTTTGTTTATTTTTTCAAAGAACCAGCTTTTTGTTTGGTTTATTTTGGTTATGGTTTTCTGATTTTCTAATTGGTTAATCTCTGCTCTCAATTTGGTTATCTGGCTTCGTCTAGTAGCTTTAGGTCCCATTTTTTCTTGTTTTTCTAGCTGTTTTAGTTGCAACATGAGATTATTTACTTGGTCTGTCTCCATTCTCTTGATGTGGGCACTGAGGGCAATAAATTTGCCCCTCAGGACTGCTTTTGCTGTGTCCCACAAGTTTCTTTGTGAGGTGTTTTCATTTTCATTGAGTTCTAGGAAATGCTTTATTTCTTCTCTGATCTCTTCTGTTACCCAGGCCTTGTTAAGGAGTGTGCTGTTCAATTTCCATGTATTAGAGAAATTTCTGCGGTATGCTTTGTTATTGAGAGCTAGCTTGATTCCACTGTGGTCAGATAGGATACAGGGGATTATGTCGATCCCTTTGTATTTGCTTAAGTTCCTTGAATGAACTATGATATGGTCTATTTTGGAGAAAGTTCCATGAGCTGCTGAGAAGAATGTGTACTGTGTTGTTTTAGGGTGAAATACTCGGTAGATGTCAGTTAATTCCGCTTGAAGTATGGCCTCACTTAATTCGGT